TAGGAAGTGAATTCAACGGGAAAAAATAAGAAAAGGAAAAAAGAAGTCGCTCTCTTTCCTCACGTAAACAAGCTGCCTCTTTTCCCGTCTGTGGATCATATATAAACTTCTCTGAATGTCATCGATCGAACAAAAACTTCTTTCGCGATATTTTCCAAGGACTCACGGGAGTGATGGTATTGGGAATTTGATAGCACGCTCTTGACTGACGTCATCCAAGGTGACGAAGATAAAGATGAACTGGAGGAATGCTGAAGAGAGGAATTCCAGCTAGCTAGGAGGATGCAGTGAGCACAAAGGAGTAAATGAAAAGAGGAATGCTTTCAAAACCAGATGCCGAAGTGATGGGCCGTATCTCACCCACTTGGCCTTGGCATGGAGGAGGTGGACGTTCTTTCATTTTCTTTAAAAGATTTTGGGTTTGTTGTTTTCAAAAGTTTGGAAAAAGTGCTCTCTCACTTCGTGGCTGAAATGGATGGGAGGACGTTTCTGCCAGGTAGGAGTGAAATACCATGAGAGAACTTTTTTAAAAAGAGCATGCATATCCTATTATATGTAACAAAAGAGAAAGCACATGAAAGAAGAGGTTTCAGGTTTGCGCTACTGTGAGCACGTTTCCCTCATATGTTGGCTAGTTTCTTATTTTTAAATTCATCTACAGAAGATTGATGACTTTGCCCTTGCTGGAAATTTGACATTCTCAAATAATCAACAATTAGTTCATCTACAATCTCCCAGAATTAAATAAGTTCCAATATTAAACTGTGCTTAATAAACCTACAACGCTCTAATGTTAAGTACGTACAAAATTGAAAGTTAGAGAAAACAGCTTTCGATTTAATAGGAATAATTCCTGAATATCTGTTGAACGCCTAGCACTCTCATATTGCTGTTGCTTGACGCCTTCGAATAACTCATTTTCTGAATATTGCTTTAATTTTCTGTTAGGAATTTCAAAATCTCTCATATGCCATCAAAGTACCCTTTGAGATAAGATTTCACTTTAGGGAAGAGAATATAGTTTGCAAAATATGATGAATAATGGGAAGCCTGAGAATTGTAATACTTTCTTCACTGTATATAATTTGACGGGTATGTGCGCGCACGGATTTTCTTTTAGTATAAACCTGCTATTCGACTGAATGTTTTCATGTATGACGCGGGGAATTTTTTTCAAATGGCACGCCATCACATCATTATATAATGAACAGTTCACTTCATTTCATCAAGAAAATGTGTTCCTTTGGAAACTCTTTTGTGTGAATTATTTTTTTTTCCAGTCAATTAAAATTACCAATCTAATCTGTACTCGATTGTCCAAAGTTTTTGTGATTGTAGTAGCTTTTCTCCAATCTTAACAGATGACTGCCAATTCGTCTCAGGATAATTCGCAAAGAATCTCCAATTAGAACTTGTTTGAAAAAATCAGAACTTTTGTTTTCCTGCAAAACTTTATTGTTGTTCTTTGCTCAGCTTACGAATTCAGAACAACAGTTTTTCATTAGATCACGACAATTGCATAGAAAATTCTGTCCGTAAACAAACAATAATTTAGGAAACGCATTTGAAAATTTACTACGAACGTGTGATAGACATGTGTTTGTCAAGTTCATTGGAATGCATTAAAACTACTCCTAAGACCTTGTAGTCACACTGTGTGTGTATTGCAACTAATTATAAATAAAATAAACGCTTTTATATGAAACCGATAATGTAGGCTGTATGTACAGTACAAATTGGCTATCATATTAGCCTTATTGAATTATATAAATAATTTTATCTGCTTGTCATGGATTTTAAATTCACCTATTTGCTTTAAACTTCTGAGTAATAATTAAATTTCCCCGTGCATTCTGTCGCAGTGCAATGATTAGCATTTCCACATAGCGTCTGAAAAATTCGTGAGGCTGGGGGGCTGCGGAATTAGGGCTAGGGAATTTTTAATTTATTACATTCTTGTTTCCGAAACGCAAATGACATCTACCAGGGCGCAGTGGATGATAATTCATCACTATTAAATGCAGTGGACGATAATCAATGTATAATTCAGTGATAATTCAGTTAAAATACAGTGGACAATAATTCATCGCCATCTGGATTGATTGACTATATCTTGTTTCTTGTCTAATCGCCTGGTTACGTTAGGGAGAACATAAAGAATAATCGCGTTCCTCCATTCGTGCTTTGTTAATATTAAGTAGTTAGCAGACCCAACTAGTATTTATAAGATCTCAGTTTCGATTCGAGGAAGGATACACTAAGTTAATTTGTACTCATTTCCTGCTTCCATAAACCTAACGGCGTATTCAAGACACGGGGCTGTTTTCAAAATACCAAAATATTAACTTCTGAATTAATTGCATAATCAGTTTGTTGGGAGAGAGGGCTGTGTTTTGTAAGGAAATATTTTTTTCAAATAGTATGTTATCATATTCTTGGGTCTACTTTGTAAATCTGAGCTTCAGTTACAGAAACAGTATTTTAGCATTTAACGTAAATATATACAAATTCTGGCACTAAGGATAACGACATTTTGTAGAAACATTTAAAAGTATTTTAAACATTCAGAAAAAGGAAAATAATAAAGACTTATTAAATTATATTTAACGCGCGTTACATTCCTGGGAAACCTAAATGGAAAGTAATCGCTTAAATTAACAGAACTAATGAAAATGTAATACACCTTCTCAAATAATTAAAACAATTTCAGTTAAACCCTTTTTTCAAATTTTAGATATATTGAATATGTATAGAACTGTAGATTTCTCTTATGCATGTCTCTGCATTAGAGGGGTTAGAATAGGGCTAGCAAGTAAAAGTCTCGCGCTCGCGATGAACCCGCAGTTAATTATTCACACTTCTCTCTCCGAAACCTAATAAACCGTACCTGCAAATCTGAAAAACTTGAAGCCCAAGAAGTTTAAGGCTGTTCTGGGATAGTCTCTTTCAAGCGCCTACTTACTCCAAAAACGGACTATGGATCATAAATAGAAGTTAAATATATTTGATCCTTATGCATACAAGATATGAAGGGAATCGAACGTTCAGGAATGTTAATCTTTCTTTTATAACTATTATAATTGATTTTTTTTCATATTACCTATATAGCTAAGCATATATATAGCTAAGCATATATATATAGCTAAGCTATATAGCATATATATATATGCTATATAGCTAAGCATATATATTTAGCTAAGCATATGAGGCCGTAAATTATAGCTTGGTTAAAATAGTTACAGTGCATCTTCAAAGCTCTAGCGCTAATTTCGGCAAAATCGACGTTTGAAAAATAATTATATTCTTACTTCTTAATATTAAAAATACAATTCTCATACATCTGTTTATCCAACGGCTTGCAATTTTATGCTGCTGCTTGGTTCCTTTGTAGAACTGGTCTTTTGTAACCGTGAGGTTACGCTTTTCTGTATCCCTTCAGTAATGTAATAAATATGAAGATAACGATCTTTAGGTGAGGTTTCATTCCAAAGAAGCGAAAGTGATCTACAAGTACCGAATCTCTTGATAAAAAGTGATGATAATTATGATACGTTTCTTTCCTACAAACTATTAGTTTTAAATATTGTATTAGTTCTAAATTTTGCTACTAAAACAACGTGATTTGGAAACAAGAAACAATTTTGTTGATTAAGGATCGAAACCTTTGTTTACCTGAAATTTTAGTTTTCTTTTCTGCGAATTCAAAGGTATTTAGACGTAGTTTAACTATTTAGACCTTTAACGCTAAACTTAGTTAGTCCATTAAGCTGAGCAAGCATCTTTTATATATAGTGCATTATGATTAAGTCCCATTATGTAATTACTTCATGCTTTTAACTGAAGTTTCATTGTACGGGATTAAGTGAAGTTAATGGACTCCAAATTTCTTGACAGACAGAAAGTTAATATAGTCTAAAGGATTTTCCATGAACTCTAGTTTTCTTTGCATTGTTAACAGCACATGCCCCGTCTAGTCTAACTAAATGCAATAGCTTTAATGTTTAGTTTACAACCGCATACTTAGTTTCAGAATAATGTTAGGCTTATGGCATTTAATGCTTTGAGATATAAACATTTTAGTTCCTATGCATGCATTCATAATGCATATGTGATTTTTTCTTCCATTTTATAAAAGGGATCTGATACTGTGTTCTTTTGATGCCGTTTTCCAAAAACCTGTTTCACCTATCTTAACGAATTATTTATAATTGTGAAAAATATGTCGTTTAACACCTAATTAGAAGAACTTTAATTTTTGGTCTAAAAACATAAAGTCAAATTTCAAAAGTCAAAATAATTTTAAAACAAATGTTTTAGTATTTTTTTAATTCCTCTGCCCGTGTGTCTATGACTTATGGTATTATTAGAAAACAAATTAGTTATATAAAAAGGGAAATGTAAACGTTTTACACTGACTAAATTTTGAATAAAATTTACTTAAAGATGGAAGAAACATACTCTGAATATATATATATATATATATATATATATATAAAATCGATATATGGAAAAACCTGGCATGTTTTTTTCTGAAAACGTCCGATTTTATGCGCCAAAATGCATATGTTATATATGCATAGTAATATATATTTAAGTCACGCTTTTGAGACATGAAACCCTCAAGTTAAATTTCATAAATCGGCCGAGAATGGGAGATATAGAACTATGCTATTTTTGCCCTTTTTTATGTATCTTTTTTGAGTCATTCGCAAGTATTATCCACATCCTTGATTTTCATCTGATTTTTTGTGAAAAAAAGTGCTGCTTCTGCAGGCGAGAATACGATATATTTAAATGTTATATTTTTCACATTTAATTTTATAAATCCACACAAGTGTTATATTTTTCGAATCAACTGAAACTAAGGTTTTTTTGTCTATGAATATTAGATTTCGAACATTTGAACCATTTTATGTTCTCTGTGGTCTTAAAGAAGCAATTTGACAATTATTTCTTTTTTATGCCTATAGTTTATTGCTGGTAATATATCTTTTCCCCAGATGGAGTACGGTTACCTTTCAACCATCGCCAGAAAGTATTCCCAAATGGAACCTTAATCATTCGCAGCGTTGAGAAGACTACAGACTCTGGGCCATATAAATGCTCGGCGTCCAATGCAAATGGAATTTCAGCCGAAAACTCTTTATATATTGGTGTACTTGGTAAGGCAAAGTTTTTCTTTTCTTTTTATGCATATGCTGAAACAGTTTACCGTACAGACATAAATGTAATCAAGATATGTCGCTTTATATAATTGTTTTAAAACGAAATGCTAGTATGCGGCCGTAAAAATAATTGGTAAAATATATTTTTGGCATATTTGAAAAGAAATGAAAAAAAAAAGATTCTTTATACTTTTTTATTTTCCTTTAAATTTGTTTTAATAAATACTTTTGTAGTAAAATATAGTTTTTAAATTTCATTCTGCCAGATATTGTTCTTAACGTGAAAGTTAATACTTAAACGCTTAAGTAATTAAAAGAATTTTAGCTGAGCTGAGTTTATTTTATACTTTTAAATATTTGAAGACATTTCACATCAAAATTTCCATCTAATAGACTGCATTAGTACATCGATTTAGTATTCAAGGGTTAGACATTTTTGCTGCTGCTAGCAAAAACGGCTTTAAGCATTTTGCAAGAGAATTTTGTATTCCGTGAACTTGGATAAGAAAAGGATGCTACTTTTTACATGTAATAATATTGAATTGGAGCTTGAAATTTCTAATTGCGTTCCTGTATTTAGAATTCATCTTTTTATTTCTGCGTTTGGTCCTTTTACTTACAATTTGAATACATTTTTGTGGGAAATTTAATTTTTATAAATTGGAGTGTATGAAAAGGGAGTATATTAATTGTTCAAAATTTAATATTTTTAATTAATACACATAATACAATTTCTGATTTTCGCCGTTATGGTAGTAGTTTAAATTTATCTATATAACAGAAAATAACTACACGAATATTCACTAATTTCTGCTTTAAGCTTCAAATAACATTTTTAGTTTTGTTTTTGGACTTTTAGTAATTTGAATAGTTGAGTTTTCTTTCGCTGTGAACAATATTTTTAGTATTTTATGTAATCAGATTTCTAAAACTGCTTAGACTCTGTTGAATATAAATAAATTATTTTGCTTCTTCTCAGAGCTAATTTAGAAATTATATTAATTTAGTTATCGTTAATGCATAAAATATGTTTGAAATATGCTTCCTGAATTAATTATAAGTGATCCCAATTCTGTACCTCCTACGAAAGTCTACAATCTCTTTCATTTTTTGTGAAACTCATCACAGTAAAATCCTTTCATTTTTAATTCAGGGTTTGTTTCATCATTCATTAAAATATCTTTAGCTGAACATGCAGCTATTGTTGAGGAAATAATCCCCTCAACGTCATTTTAGCTTCCTGTTCTATCTCACATAACTTCGGCTTCTGCAGTTTCCCATTCTGTGAACTTCTAATCTGTTTTTATTGCATTAAGTACTCTAGCCAATCATTATCGCGAGAAAAGTATAAATTTCTGTTTAAGCAAAATATAAAGGCGAATTGCAATATTTGCCGAGCAATTATGGTAAAAAGATTGATTTATCTCCTATTATTTATTTATCTCATTTTTTATGTATATGAAAAAATATTTCTTATCTGAAATACAGGTTAAAATTTGTTATTATTTTTACTTACAATCCTGAAGAAAATTGATTTAATAATTTTATATATTAGCTCAATTACTATGTGATAACAATTCAATAAATAAATATAATAATATAAACGTATTTTAGAGCATTATATTCTGATATCGGAAATGACTTAAATCAAATGTTTCGCTTTTGGCTCCTTAGAGCGCTTCGTTTCGAGATTTGCTGAAATAGTAAAAATTAGTGATAGATCTGACTTTTACTGGCAGTAATTTGAATATATTCTTCCATAAATGAATGCTTTTTTCATATTATCATTTGACAACGAGAAAGGTTTTCCAGATTATCTTTCAAGTTTTTCGTTACTCTATAAATGTTTAGCAAGCGGAGCGATTAAAAAGCAGTAAATCAACTTCTTATTAATTTTAATATGTTATTTTTTGCAAACACTGTTATATGTCTACGGGATCGTAATGGATTCACTATACACCGAACTGATGAAATTTATTTTTTCACAAGCATTTCACAATGCTGGAGCTTTTTTCGGAAAAGTATTCGTACAGCTCCTTTCAGTATCACAGAGCACAATCAGTAGTTACCACTTCGAAATCCTACGAACGTTGAACGCAAAGCGAAGCTCGCTTAATGATCCCTCAGTATTCTGAACTCAATTGAAAACCGATTCTCTATCCACTCTTACATAGTTTTCCTTTGTCAAACGAAACGTTTCCAGTACCTTCGATTTCTCGAAATTTCTGGAAGGCAAAAACAGTTACAATTACATACGCAGTCGGATACGATTAAAATTTCATGGGGATCGAACCACTTAGTTACACAGGCATAGGACTCAAATATCGCCAATCGATAGACAGACTTGGCGACTTTTGATGATTTCTCGCCAATTTGATGATAAAAATTAACCGCCATAACCATTGTCAGATTGGCGCGATTGCCGACATTCTGAATCACTTCAAACCCTTCTTGGACAAATATCATGTATTCCTCAAACGATGAAGGCGCCTCCGCAGCGCGGGAAACGTAACCAAACAAGAGGTCACAAGCATATTCACAAAGCCTACACACCGTTACTTCTACTGTTTTTGATTGGTTGAAACAGAAACCGTAGGGTTATAGAATCTTGTGCTTGGCGACTTTTGCTTCATCGCCTTTACTATTTGCATATGAGCGTGGTGTACCGAAAAATGTGCAAAAGCTACCGAAGAAACCGCAGCTCAGCGGTAACGAGCACGGAAAAAGTTCTTGGACTTTTAGATCGCCGGTTCTATCCTTTCTAGTGACTTTTAAAAACTCTGCCCTGCACGGATTTATTTTTGTACTAACTTTATTGAATCACTTTGTCGTAATTTGTCTTTTCGCCTTCGGGTGCGGTGTTAAAACTTTAACACCTTTATTTAATCTATTTTTGTTAATGCTAATATTTCTTATTTTTATTTACTGGTTTTTACTCTTTGTAGAAGGTACCAGTAGCAAGATTACGATCCAAGATCCCGAAAAGCGTTTTAATAGAAATGGCGCATAATTTCAGTTATACTTACTCATAATTTAGGTAAAAAGAATACGACGCCCTTAAATATTTACAGAATGTTTTCATTTGGTTTATTTTTTAATATTCCTGTATTTGTATAAATTAATGAGCTATGGAAATACACAACAAGCTCTTTTTAGCAGAAATTACGAAAACGTGCATATGCCATTTCCATGTAAACACTTTTTCTTGCAAAACAATTATCGTACTTTTAATAGTTTAAATTCAAATACAAATAAACTACTAATAAGATAAGTAGGTTATTTAAAATATATTCCACACAATTCTCCTTAACTTTCATTCAAAAAATTAAAAATATCGAATGAAATAAACGCTGTTTTTCCTCACTTTACTGAAAGCCGACAAGGTTTGTTTGGTGTTAATTACCCCGCCTACAGGGCGATAACTCGCCATTTCAAATATAACCGCTAAGCAGATGTTTCATCCAATGAGAGCAGACCATAGGAGAAATGGTCTGTAGGCTTTGTGAGTATGCAGGTCACAAGGCAGACGAAAGTCACGATCGAAGAGCATCTGGTATCGAGAGTAGCCGTTAGTCTTTTGGACAGCACTGCTGTAGTCCAATAAGAACAGCAGTAATTTCTGATTCCACTCCTACTGTGTTTTGGAAAACATCACATAGAGGTTATTAAGGATGGTTTGATTAAACCTCTTTAACCTCTTTACTATGCCGTCTGAAACTATGGATGTAAAGGTGTCGTTTGGGTTTTCTTTATGTCGAGTAGTTCACAAATTTCTTTAATTACAGGCTAAATGAAATTTCCTCCCTGTTCAGAATGTAACTGAAAAGGCACTCTACACCTATGAATCCAATTTATGTCATCACCTCTGCTATCGTGACAGCTTCTTGATCAGAGGTAGGATAGGCTTCAGGCACAGGCATCGCAAGATTGACATCCCTTTTGCGCGTCATCCAGAAATTATACTCCAGAATATGCACTCTCTAACTCCGTGCAGAGTCTTCATTATTCTAATGTAATCTCCTGTAGGACTGTTATGCAGTTCTTTAAGGACGTCTTGAAAGTTTCAACTGTCATCTGAAAGCTTTCCATCATATAATTCAAAATTTCGGTACAAGATACCGTTTCGAATATCTAATGAGTCCCAGAGAGCCCAACAATTTTTGTCATAAGATTATGTAGTGCAATGTCCCGTCAGGTAGATTTCCTAATGAAGGCTCCATTAAGTAATAAATTTATGGATTTAATTTCGCCGCCTTCCAACTGATCTTTCCTGACGTCTTCACCTCTCCTTGCGTCTGTATCAGACGATTATTAAGTTGCAACTTGAAGTGAGACCGGATTAACCAATATGTATTTTGCTTCCACCCTGGAACAATATCGGCAGTTTCTGGTCAGGGACTTCTGGACAGGGCGTTGGCGTTTCTGAGTGACAGTCTTTCCAATGATGCATAGTGATGTCATATTTTTGGAGTTTCTGCATGAATTTGGCTATTTGGTATTCTGGATTCTTCCAGTTTAACAACTAGGTCAACGATACATGATCTGTGCGGAGCAGAGATTTTCTGCCGTAAAGGTAGTGGTCGAAATATTCTACGGCTTCAGCTATGGCAAAAAACTCGTTTCTAGTGACACAGTAATTCCTCTCCGGTTTAGATAGACACTTGCTGCAGTATGCCACCGCGAGTTCTTGACAATTTCTTTCTTGGGACAAAACAGCACAGATACTTTCATTTCTGAACAATTTCCATTTGGCAGGACATTAGTCTGCCTTCCTTCGATTTCTTTAACACCTTCCCAATACTTTCTAAATGTTCTTCAAAACTTTTCCCGGCGGTGAGGACATGATCCATGTATATGAGATGGGCTTCGTAGGAATCATAGCTCAGCACTGCCTCCATGGGTCGTTTCAATGCTAACGACGGATTACATAATCGAAACGGCTTAATCTTGAACTGGCAAATTCCTTTTCGATAGTAAATGACGTCTTTTATTAGTCTTCAGAGTGCATATCTGTCTGCTAACATTCACTCTTAAATCGAGTGTCGGAAACCAGTAGCTTCCAGGAAGAGTGTGTAGAATTTCTTCGTTTCTAGAAAAAGGGTAACTGTCTTTTTTTTTTTTTTTTTTTTTTTTTTTTTTTTTTTTTTACGTTGTTTTACCAGCGATAGTGAACGGAAAATCTAATTTGAACCACCTTTCTTTCTCACAAGCACGAATGTTTTCGTACCTCTCCCTATTTAGATATCGGTAGATGTCTTCGATGTTGTTTGATTACATAGTGATCCACCGTTTCCAATGTATACTGTGACTAACTGTTTCGACCTAAGTCAGAAGATGTGCGGGATGGGAAACAACTTAAAATTCTTCAAAGACACATTCTGCAGTATTTCGCTCTTCCTTGTACCTTCTGCAGTAACTTCGATGTTAGATCTCCGAAGACAGATATTGGAGGACTGTTGGTTCGTTTAGCACAGTTCACTGGAGTACACGTTGTAATCAGCTCGGCTTTCCTAATAACCTTCGCAACTCTCACCGAGTGGTTGTCCCCGATAGGTCGATTAATGCCGAGGGTACTATTGCTGCTTTCGGAATATTACAGATTTTAGTGTATTCCATTATACTGTAACACAAATTTCCGTTTTCAGCTATGGATTCAAGAATTACAAATTCTATAACCAGGGATAGTTTGATATCCCCTTGTTTTACTTATTACGTGCTCCTCCCATAGGCACTACACGGAAAAAGAGGGATGCCAGGCAGAGGTTTTTTTAAGGGAAACTGGCTTGTATCCACATTACACATGGAGAAAACCACGAAAATGCAAATGCAGCCCGTTCGCCGAGACTCGAACCCCGGACCGAACTACCAGTATTCCGTAGCTTTTACCGCTCGGCCGCTAGTAGGCGTGATACCGTCTTTAGCTATTATTTCATTGAAGAATTAACTCCCTTGATTTCGAAGATTATGTTCTCAGAGTAGAACGTAGTTCAAATTGTTTTTTCGTAGAAAGTCTAATCCGGCTTAGCAAGGTTCTGTAATACCTACCGCATATAGCGAAGGTTTAACTTTTCGTTGAAGTGGATTTTAAAACCGGACAAAATCTGAAAGGTAATGCAGAACGGTGTCCAGATGAGCCAGATGAGTTTACATTTTCATCGTTGACTTAGATCTTTTTGGATGATGGTAATGTCGGCTCATATATCGATGAAAATTTTGCAAGGTTTTCCATTTATATGCCCCATGTTGAAGTGTTTATTACTTCTATCACTCATTGGAGAAATCTGAAGTGCTTTAAAATGAGGGTTTTAAATATTTGGCAACGTCTTATGATAATATTTGGCAAGATGACCACTGAATAATTTCATTCCTTCTTACTTGGTTTGGTTTTCCTTCCCCACTGCAGTTCCAGCATTTTCGGATCAGTTTTATCACTTCTGTTTTGTCGCTAGGCATTGAATTTACTTGTAAAATTGTCTAAACAAGGAATCACTTGATCCTTGTATTACCTGAATATGAGCAGTTGTAACTGACTGGTGGTCTCTACGGGTTGCCTGTTGGGCTAATTCGTATTTTTGTGATATATCCAACTGATAATTATTATTAAATGGGACATTCGAATCGTCAAATTTTTTAATCTTGAGAAAGGTTCGAGTTTCGAAAGCGTGAATCTTCGCTTTAGCCTCTTCATTCGAAAAATTCGAATGAAGAGAAAACCTAAAGAAATCGTTAAACATTTTAACTCAAAACTTTGAAAAAATTCGTTTAACAGGCGTTACGTTAATATAAATTATAAAAACGTTAAATGAAAAATATTCATTTGGATTTCCAAAACTGCCTTTTGGCAACCTTGAATTCTCCATTTTTAATTTTCTCGAGAGCATTTATTGTTTTAAGATTAGAGCTAATATTTTTTGTATCTCAAAATAATCCTCTGTCCTTCATACTTCCTTTAAAAAAAATTCAATCTTCATTTTTTTGTCTTTAAATCAAAGATCTTCTAGGAAAATGTAAAATATTTAAACTAATGCTCATACTATATTTCTTATCAAATCAAGTAGGGGGAAATTGCACCTTAGGCTCTATGGGTTTTAATTACATGTTTCATTTATAGCATGTATTTTAATCAATGTATTTTTGTATATATTAAAATCTTCTCTTCATTCCGGTATGAGATTTTAAATATAAATAGTAATTTGAGCTTAAGGCTGGCAATGCCAGCGGGCTTCTAAGAGAATCCTATGTGTGTGTCCGAAATGAGCAGTATGTCTGGGAATTGGTGAATTTCTCTTTTTCTGTTAAGTACTAATTCGTAAAACTGACCGATACCAATCCAGACACTAGGATATAATATTAGTCTTGTAAACGTTAAAAATTAACTAGTTTGAAGTTCTATTTTGTCGGTTTTTTCCGTGGGGTGCTAAATCAATTAATTTAGTCTTGTGATTCAAGCTGAAGTTAACAATAAAATTTATTTGATCACGTTTCTGTTGCAATGGTTTAGCATTTAGAGGCTGTTGTGAAAGCCGAGTCGAAAATTCATCTCCCAGGCTAGAAAGTTGTAGTAGTTATATAACTGATTCGAAGTAACGTTAATCTTATAAATTTAATTAAATTAAATAATCTTATAAAGCTGCTGAATACTAGCTTTTAAAGGAAAAATTAATTCATTAATTAGTTTCCGATTAAATGCAGATTTAAATTTTGCTTTTTAATAACTTTTAAATAAAAATTAGTATTATCATTATTAGTTATTACTATTACTATTATTTTCTTATTAGTAGTAGGAATGAAATTTTTAAGAGGTTCAATATTCGAACGATTTAAAAAATTCGAGAACTTTTTAGAATTCAGATTTGAGAAAATTCAGGACACGTCCCGGATCTATTTTTTGGAATATTCGATCATTATTATAATTAATAAAGCATGTTTCTAAAGCCATATATTATGTGCTTCAGTAAAAAATTGCTTGCCACGTTTTTTAGCTTTATCGATTGCATAAATATTATTTTTTTCCAGTTCGCCCTCTGGTAGAGCCATTTTTCTTCCCAAAGTCTCTGCAGCAGGGCCAGCGTTTCAGCGTCTTGTGTACCGTCACGGAAGGTGATCCGCCAATCAGAATACAATGGATTAAAGACGGACAGCATTCTTTCTTATCAAATTCGAATGATGGAGTGAGAGCTCTGGTGGTAACGCAATTTTCCTCGACACTCGTTTTCGAATCTTTGTCTCCAGAACACCGTGGCAATTATACATGCGTCGCTTCAAACGCCGCTGGCACCGTGAGCCACACCGCTACAATGGTAATTCACGGTATGGCTTAGATCTCGAACAGTCCATCAGGATTCATTCGAGAACTTAGAATCAGTTGACATGTATATTGAAACATTTACAGTATAACCTCGTCTAACCGAACTTCAAGGCTTTTCAATAGTCAATGGGGGCTGTTATCGAAGGTTTAATGTAAAAATAAAATAAACACTTTTATCCTTAATAAAATACATTCTTATGGTATATTGTCCAAAAGTCTCTTGACACATATAAATATAATGCGACTTCTTGAATATTTAGAACATCACATAATATTTTATGGAATAAGCAAAGGATAAATCTAATTATCATTTCCCATTTCATGTTGATCAATGTATGTCTGAAATGCAAATAATGGCTTGATGTAGGCATCTAATGGCAACTAGACCTTTGCACAAAGTATATTTTTCTGCAAACTTCAGAAATTCTTATTTCTGTTCCAATGTTTATGAAATTCTCAATGTTTAGCTGTATATAGCATTGAAGTATTAATTAGAGAAATCCTTGAAGTGAAGAGCATTAGGAGGTATAGAAATCAACGAGACATTTATGGATATGAGCAGATGATTTAAATTTTCAAGGGACTGTCTCTCCCTCCAAAACTGAAATGTCTCCGGAGTGGTTGCTAAGAAACTGGAATAAGGTGGTATTAAAAAAACTACTTAAGGTGGTAGAAGAAAAATAAACTGCTCTTCAAGTTGAGTTATCTTTTCCATAATTGACTGTAGGAGAATTTGATTGCTAGGCAGTTGGGTTTCTAAACTACTGCTAAATTGCTTTTATCGTTTGAAACTATGCTCAGAAAATGACGTTTGCCTTACAAGAAAGGCCTCTATCCCAGGAAACGAATCGTTTGCTTTTCACCGACCTTTCTAAAAAGAGGTCCGACTGGTTTCTTGCAGAGAACAATACAGATGAAATCCATAACTCTATGCCTGTGTGCTCTTCAGTGAAGATACGAGATTCGTTTTAGCATCTGCTTCTGAAAGTGTTCACATTTGGACGGAACGGACTATGCACGATTGCTCCAATCTGTTTGACTGAATATGATCGTTACGTTATTAAAGAAAAATGATGTGCGCGAGTTTATCAAAAGATCTATATATGCCCAAAGATATAGTGAGAATATGAAATTTTGACCTGATATATGATAACCCTGATTATAATAAAAATACGAGAAATCTATACGAGCTTTACAGGACTGCATGTTCATCTGCTTTTCCTTTTATGGATGCCAATGCGCTTCATATGGAAAGAATTTCTTCAAACTAAAATCACTGAACGAACAACTGGCAACTCCAGTCTCTTGATTTGTTTTCCTAGAGAGCTTGATTTATAACACTAGAAATCACTTTGTTTAATTACAAAATATGCCTTTTTTCCCAACGAATGAAAAATAGGAAAAGATATAGATTTTAAAAAAAAAATTAAATGACTATTTTTCGAACTTGCTTGTTCAATATTATGTTTATCCTTTGTTTCCATTAGACGGGGTTTTACTGTACTAATTTCTGCATGTTTTGAAAAACTTTTAAATATTTTAAGTGATCAGAATGTCTTCTAATGATAGCAAATTTATTTATTTCTCTTACTTACATATCATTCAATATTGTTTAAGATTAAAATGAATCTTTACTATTATAAAATGTATTATAATGCATAAATGTTCTTTAAAGCGTTTTTATTGGGAGAATGATTTATTACCTTATCGAGAAATATTTGCTTAAGACTAAGAAAGACATTTAACGAAAAATTCTTATTGAGACTCATGACATGAGATATTATGAATATGTATATTTTTAAACTAGTTAATTTGCATCGAAAAGAAAATATTTCCAAGATAGCTCAGTCCTATTGGGAAAGAAAAAAATTAATTTGGAATCTGAGTATTTTTTGCTTTTTCAAGTTCTTGTTTTTTACCAGTATCTATTAACTAAATTACTTTTGATTACGATTATTATAATACATATCAGTTTTTCAATGCGTTCTATCAAAATAATATAATTTAATAAAAAGAATGAACAAATTATCAACTGGAAATCTGCGTGAATTTCATGCAAGTTCATTAATCAGAATACTTTACTTCCTTAAAATGATGCATAATTTTTTAGCTGTTCTATATTTATATTTCTTTGTTATAATAGGTTACAAATAATCAGTTCATATGCCTTGTCCCATTTCATATTTAAATGACAAATCCTCCCCCCCCCCTAAAAAACTAATGTTTCTGCTCCTTAGATATTTTACTGTGTTTACAAACTTACACTAGATGGCAGCACTACCTCTGCTGTTATCAAATTCAGTCACAATGAATAATTTGTACATCCTGTTCTGAGAGAAACATAACTTAATGTATTCATGATAACAAACATAACAACTGGTATAGTAATGCTTCATGGCACTTAATTTGAATAAGTGTGGCTTCGATTAATACTGAATTCTTTGATTCCAAAAATGCCAGTTTCAAATATTTTTTCTTTGAATGTCTCCTGGGAAAATTGGCTTAAACACACCGTTATTAGATATTAAAAAATTCAAATAAGGTGCCATATTAATTTTTATTTTTAATATTTAAACTAATTTTATGTGTGCATGTATTAACATTTATGTGCGTATTTTATTCTTGTTATTATTATTATTATTATTATTATTTTTTTTTTTTTTTTTTTTTTGTTTTTTGTTTTATATGATTTTATTTTATTTTATTTCTTATGTTTTACAAATAATGCTAATTTCCCTTACATGCCCGATTGTTGCCTTCTAATGCAATTTCCTCGAATTCGAATGCATTATTCTTTCAATTTACAGATGCATCAGGTAAGTATCATTAAAACCTCAGTATGGCAATAATCGAAAAATCTTTGATCTTTGGTTATTTTGTATTGTGTTACTTTCATATTTTACCTTTGTGTTACTTTTATATTTTACCTTTCTGTTACTTTCATATTTTATTTTTTAATTGAATAGTCTTATTTCTATAATCTAATGTTTTATGCAACACAAAATAAAATGCAATCCCAATGTACAATTTCCAACAGTAATCTTAAACTGGATAAACATATTCTAGTAATCTTAAAATGGATTATATAATTCCCTTTTTCATATGAACGTAGCATCTCTGATAAATCGTGTCGTCAGACTGATTGTCATCGGTCATCAGATGGATGTTGGAAGGTCCTTGTCTAGTATTTTATAATTCCTGTTAGAGATTTCTACAGAAATACCCTAACGTTCATATTTTAAAATTTTTATTTTTCTTAATTAAAAAAAAGGCTTTGTTGCATACAACATAGTTTTAACCCAAATAGTTCTTTCATGTAACTGAATCTGATACTCTCTTCGTGATGGTATGATGGTATATGTCGTTAACATACATTTATAAGCTTTTATGTAATTTAATATAAGCTGTTACTATTTATCTAAGTTACATTTATTATGTCCAAAAAAAATGGGCTGATCACTTATCACGCAAAACTAATGACTCTAAAATCACGAAAATACAATATTTATAGCTGATTTAATTTCGAATCATTAGCATTTTAAAGAGAAATCATGATTTTAATTGCTGTATTATTTTTATCTTGTGTTTTTCTGTTCAAGCTCTAACTTTTTTTTTTTTTTTAGTTTCTAAAAATCTATATTTTTGTATAAAGAAAAAAAATTGTTCAAAATTTGTAAGTTATATAATGATTGGAATATCCTGTATTTACATAATTACTTATTAATTATCTCAGTACTTATTACTTATTTAATTACTTATTTAATTATCTCAGTTGGAATATTAACAATCATTATGTACTTAACATAATGATTGTTAATATTCCAACTGAGATAAAATTTAACAAGATAATCCTTTTAAGATTGCTTTCGATCTTTCGTGTTTATACCAGTTCCGCAATAAAGAAAAGTTTTAATGAAAAACGTTTGTGGAATGCGTTCAAGTTTATTCCGAAGAATTGTTTAAAATGTGATAGCTTCTGAAAATTATTTTCTAAATACAATATTTATTACGACTTCTGAAGAGAAGCCAGGCGGACGTATTACGCATTAGTAACTAAAAACGTATTACTAACTGTTCAATCGTGAGCATTTCTGAGATTCCTAATTTTTCTTTGCAACAAATAAGGATCATGAAATTAAGTAAATAGCAATATAAAAAAATGTACTATGTTCATTAAATTTTTGATTTCTATTCAAACTAACATGCTAAGGTGAACCTATGTCGTTCATATTTTAATTAGACACACATTTTATTGATTTTCTATTGGTTTGAATGAAACTCGCTTTTAAATCAGAGAATATTTCTATAAAATTAATTTTCAGCAGTGAGTTTTAAACAGAACCAAAACTGAACAAGATGTCTAGAAATTAAATATTTTAAGGTACCTACCGATATTGTAGAATTCTGTAAACCTGCGATCTGTAGATTTTGTTTTTCAGTGATATCTTTCTGTCTTTAATCAGTTCTATATAAACGGGGTAATACTGGCAAAAATGCTCGGAGTTATTTCAAAGTGACAGTTAATACGAGAGCAGTTAAAAAACAAACAAAAAAAAATAACCTATATTATAACTGGCAATTTACATGTATTTTCAAGTAGTTTATTCTAGTGAATAAGTTCATTTGATTACGTAAATTAAATCAGTGTTGAAAACAAAAAGAACGCATCGTATTTAACGGAGGAAGAAGCATCAACATCAGAAGAAACTAAATTATAAATGACTATAACTTCACCTGTGATCACTGCTTTTGTCATACATATTTCCCTTTCCTTTTTGTATTATCCGTTGACTGATCGCCAATCGCCACCATAAGTATCTTCGGAACTAAGGATTTATATTCCAAGCAAGATAAAAGCTGCTCTAGAGCAGCGGTTTTTCAACCTTTTGACTAACGAGTACCATCTAAACAAAAGTTGAAAACCCTAAGTACCACCACTACAAAGTACTACTACCAATACCACTCTTGAACAAAGCTCAGATCGCGTAAATTTACGTGTGTT